GAGCAGGGAGCCCGATGCGGGGCTTGATCCCAGGACCCCGGGATCATGACCCAAGCTGAAGGCAGACGCTTAACGACTGAGCCACCCAGGCGCTCCAGAAATGTCTGAATTCTTGACCAATAGTTCTATAAAGAAGCTCGCAAGTTGACAAGTCCTCATTATATATAGATATTACAGTCATCTTTTTAGTGCATTATTAAGAAAAGATGAAAGGACAGCTATTAATCTGTAAATTAGGGAAAACCTAATAATGTTAATGTAAACCTAGTAATACGAAAGACAAATGAAAACAATGAAAAAAAATTTCCAAGGAAATGGATACATGTAAGGAAGAGAAAAAGACAAAAAGAAACAGAAACAACCCCCCACCCCCCACCCCCCCACAATACCACAGATAGATAAGATATTATATTAAGGAAACAACAGGTACTATAAAAACTGCTCTTTTTTAAAAGTTTATTCTTTTTTTTTTAAGATTTCATTTATTTATTTGACAGAGAGAGCACAAGCAGGGGGAGCAGCAGAGAGAGAGAGGGAGAAGCAGGATCTCCACTGAGCAGGGAGCCCAATGTGGGACTCGATCCCAGGACCCTGGAATCACGACCTGAGCCAAAGGCAGACACTTAACTGACTGAGCCACCCAGGTGCCCCTAAAAACTGCTCTTGAAATTAAAAAAAAAAAGCTATTAGTAAAAATTTAATAGCAGATATGGGAAATAGTGTTGTGGAAATCACTAAGTTGTAGGGAAAAAAAAGTTTAAAAAAGGTAGTAAAAGATGAGAAGGATAACAGATAAAATTAGGATTTTCAATACCCAGATAAAAGGAGTTCAAGAGAGAGAGGAACAAACTGAATGGAAGAAACTTTCAGAGAACAAGAACAAATATAAGCTTTCTAGAAATATAGGTCATGGTTCTTCAAAATAAAGAGGTCCCTGTACAATTCACAAAAAAGACCCATACCAAAGCACACCTTTGTGAACTTTCAGAAAACTAGGTATGAAGAGATCTTAAGTGCTTCCAAAGAGAAAGAACAACAAAACACAAATCAAACTGTCATCATATTTTGAGATAAAAAACTGTAAACTTTGGTATAATTCTCTCAGAATTCTAAGGGAAAACAATGTCTAACCTAAAATTTCAAACCTAGTTAAGCTATCATCCAAAAGAGTGTAAAATAAAAACGTTTTTAGACTTGTAAGGACCCAAAATTTTTACTCCAAATTAACCTTTCTCAAGGTGCTAAGGGAGAGATTAAACCAAAAATAAAAGAAGACACAGCTCCAGAAACAAGTAATCCAACATAAGAAAGAGATGGAGGTCCTCAACTACAGCTGGGCCTCTCAGTTGACAGTCCCAGGGCAAGCTCTGCCCACCAGGGCACCCACCATAGTCACTCCAGGTTTTAGGGTGGCTGAGGGCCAGCCCCACCTACCAGCATGCTGGCAGCTGTCCAGGGCAGCCATAACAGAGGGGCACAGGCAGCCCACACAGGGCAAACCTCTGGAGCACCTGATTCTCGTGACGGGGTGGGGAATGTACTACTGGAAAAGAAAGAAAGAAATAAAAAGAGGTGAAGGAAATTCAAAAGATGATCATGTGCTGGTTATTAATCTATTATTTTTCAGTCCCACATTGAACCTTCTATAGGTTTTTCTAATGCTGGCACTGCGAGTCTGAAAACGGCATTTCCCAAACTCCTTTGCCAGTTGGCTTCCTTTTTTTAAAATTCATTGATAAATGCAACAAACTCATTAATTAACTCTACAGTGGAGAAAGTCATGGACACTATATAAACTAAATAATAAAAATTAACATCACAGGTAATGGAACATATTAACGTTGTGTGTCTCCAGATAGGATAAACTGATAATAGCATAGCATCACTTTTATGGGGTAATCCCCAAAATGTGTAAATGATGAGGGGCACCTGGGTGGCTCAGTTGGCTGAGTGTGGGACTCGGTTTTAGCTCAGGTCGTGATCTCATGGGTCCTGAGACTGAGACCCTGGCGCTCTGTGCTCAGTGCGGAGTCAGCTTGAGATTATCTCTCTCGGGGCGCCTGGGTGGCTCAGTCTTTAAGCGTCTGCCTTCGGCTCAGGTCATGATCCCAGGGTCGTGGGATCGAGCCCCGCATCGGGCTCCCTGCTCCGCGGGAGGCCTGCTTCTCCCTCTCCCACTCCCCCTGCTTGTGTTCCCTCTCTCGCTGTGTCTCTCTCTGTAAAAAAAAAAAAAAAAAAAAGATTCTCTCTCCCTCTCCCTCCACACACTTGCAGGCTCTCTTTCTCAAAAAATAAATAAATCTTTTTAAAAAGGTATAAATGAGGGCGCCTGGGTGGCTCAGATGGTTAAGCGTCTGCCTTCGGCTCAGGTCATGATCCCAGGGTCCTGGGATCGAGTCCCGCATCAGGCTCCCTGCTCCTTGGGAGCCTGCTTCTCCCTCTGCCTCTCTCTCTCTCTGTCTCTCATGAATAAATAAATTAAAAAAAGTTTTAAAAAATGTATAAATGATGAGGAAACATCAGGTAAACACAAATGGAAGAACTGCAAAATAACCTGTATTCTGAAAAGGTTAAGATCGTGAACAGGTGGAATAAACAGAAAACAAAGAGGTGGTAGAGTTAAACCTAAATATTTTAGTAGTTTCATTAAATGTACATAAGAAAGTATGTTTCTAAACTTGAGGGTCTCAACTGATAAAATCAAGCATTTCATAACAATTATTTTGCAACCTTCTTTCTTGCTTTAAAAGCATGTTAAATTAGCATTTTAATTCATACTAAACATGTCTATTTTAACATAAAAACCCATTTTATGTTGTCTATCATATAATAGGTTACCTTTTCCTCCTGTCAACCTTCAAAGAAAACTGATGCTCCAGAAAGATGCCTTCTTACCATTTTACGGATGAGGCTTAGGGGTTAACTGGTGATAAACAGATACGATCCTGCTCTCCCAAACAGGTGACCCATATTTATATATACACAACACCCAGTCACACCTGCGGTCGCAACACAGCATCTGCGGACTCACCTCTGCCCCGCCGCCTTCTTCACCTGAGAGCGTCCCTCGGGCGCGTCCCCACTTCCCCCTGCAAGACCGTGATTCCTTCCCTGTCCCCGGCTCCACTAGGTCCAAAAAGAGACGACTAGGTCCCACCTTCACTCACCCTCAGCGCTGAGCGACCGAGGCTTGCACTCATCGACAAAGATGAAATGTCATCCCTTTGCATGCAGAGGGCGAACTAGAACCTCCAGAAATCTCCCGGGCGCCGCGGGTCGGATTCCGGCGGCCAGGACCAGGTGTCCGCTCGCATTCTGGCCTGAGTGGCAGCTTTTCTGGTCTGGACTACATTTCCCACAGGCGCTGCGGCTCGAGGCTGCGTCGGCCGAGAACCGGGCGTCTCGTCCGGTGCCGACGGCGACGCTCCAGCTGCCCGGGGTGAGGCAGCTGAAGGCCTGGCGGTTACCTCCCGCCGACCCGCCCCGCCTACCAGCCGTCCGCGTCGGGCCTCGCGGTTCTGTTTGGCGCCGAGAAGCTGTAGATGAGCACGAGCCCAGCTTGCGCGCGGAGAGGAATCCGGAGGCCTGCTGCCCGCTTCCGGACTGCGTTTTCCAGAGGACTTGCAGGCGGACGCTACATTCCTCAGGATTTCGGCCGCTTTGC